TTCGGTGATGCTGCTACGATCACAGCAATCATTTTAGAGGGCTTTAAATTGCACTGATGGCGCAACTGTGAGCAACGGATGAACTACTGCTGAGCAATTCATTTATCAGTAACATAAGTCCGCTTAACAATGAAGTGATAGGAGCAAAACTGACGTAAGAAGCGAGTGTCGATGAGTTCCATGTTCTCGCAGATGAGGTCCAGCTCAGACTGACTGTCGATGAATACATCGAACGAAACACGCGCGCTGTTTAGCCTCACGCTTGCAAATGGGTCAAATCCTTGAGGAGAAGCTTCGTTGGCGCGTGGCACGAAACAGTTGAACTGTAACTTATCAGGCTTTTACGATCATCGTTTTCAAATATACGAACTTTGCTCAGCTGATAAGTCCGTTTTCCAAACCACAAAAGTGGTATGGAGACCGTTGCAGCCTACGTAACAATCTGTTTTGATTGGCGCTGCTCAGAAGTGTGAGCTGTCTGGTGAATGAAAGTTAATTAGTGATAGCTGAAAGTTTTTCAAGTGGATAATATTGTGTTTTTTCCTTACCTCAACATTCGAGAGGGCCATCCGAAACGAAAAAGAGGCATACTTGTTGCTCGCACCAATAACTTCCTGAAATGTTGCACAGCACTTGTGAAAGATCAATATGAGCCATGACTTTACTATTTATGCGATACCTCTACCATCTTACAAATAATGATGTTTGATAAGAAAAAAGCCCAAGAGAACTTCCAAAATGCAAATAATCCGTCATCTTGACACGTGCTTTTAATTTTGGTTTCATGCATTTTGAGGTGCTAATTACAAACTTAGCATACCGAAGTCAATCAACAGACGAAGATTCCGCTAAATTTATAGAACTTTTATGATTAAATGTGATTTCACAATTAGGGAAGTCGAACTGATTCTACAAGAATAAGCTGGGGCGTCAAAATGTTTTGAAAGCGTGTAACTGACTGAAAAAGTCTCCAAGTAAATGAAGCTTCTGAGCGCAATTTCGAGTCGCAGTAAAGCTTCTGTCCTGGGCAAGCAAGCAATCCCCTGAGAGTGACAGAATGAGTCCAAAAAATTAGATTTACAGGCAGCTGCAGCTTACTCTAAAAACTACAAACAGAGAAACGAAAAGTAGTTGGAGGCGCTTTCATGAATAATCATTAGCGACGCGCACCGGGCTGGCCCGTGCGATCATGCGTTTTTGCAATATTTCGCGCAGTAATGAGATCGCTTGGAAACCCAGTAGCTAGAAATGTGTGATATACTGGTCCTCGAAGCCTGGTAAGTTAATTGTCTATGCGATATTAGGACAGGGAACATTTCGTTGAAATTTTAGCTTTCCAAATTTTCTTCTTGAGTTAGCAATTTTCCTGCCAAAAATATTCTCGTGGCCGTACGTAACAACCAAGCAAGCCCCGGGGGCTGAGTTTGATAAATTTAATCCGTACGTGGATTGGGAAAATTTCCTGAAAATTTCAGCCTCCGGGCTTTCCTGGTTCCTGAGTTATCCATTTCCGCGCCAAAAACTTTCAAGAGACTGTACGTGACAGTCACGCATGC